AGTTGTTGCTTTCCTTCCTGTCTTTTTTAGGATTAAGGTTTTTTTTTTTTACATTTTATTTATTTTTTATCTCTTCTACTTATTAGTTATACCTCTTTGATTAGTTTTTTAGGGGCTACTTTAGAGATTACAATATGCATGTTTAACTTATAACAGTCCACTTTCCAATAATATTATAATATTTCATGAGTAATATTAAAAACTTACAGTAATACAATTGTGTTTATCCTCATCCTGCCTGTTGAGCTCTTGTTTTTATATATTTTACTTGTAGCATATGGTATAAACTATCCATCTATTTAATGATAATGTTTATATACTTTAATGACAAGTAAAATAGATTCTTTTATACTTATGAATTTGTCCTTTCTGTTGCTCTTCTTCCCCTTTTTGGAGGCTTCTATCTGGTGTAATTTCCTTGAGCATGATGAACTTTATTATTTATTATAGTGCATATCTGCTGTAGGTAAATTTTCCTGCTTTTGTCTATCTGGAAATGTTTTTATTTTACTTCCATTTTTGAAGAATAATTTTTTCAGATATGGAGTTTTAGGTTGTCAGGGGTCCCCTTGCCTCAGCACTTTAAATATTATCTTTTATTGTCTTCTGTGCTCTATTGTCTCTGTTGAGAAGTTCTGCTGTCATTCTTATTGATGTTAGAAGGTTTGTGATAGTCTTTTTTTTGGCTGCTTTAAAGATTTTTCTCTTTATCCTTTGTTTTTATGAGTTTGACTGTGATATTCTTAGGTGTAGTTTTCCTTGTAGTTATATTTCTTGGGGTTTGTTTAGCTTACTGGATTTGTGGATTTATGTCTTTTTAAAATTTTTGGAAACTTTTTGTCCATCACCTCTTCCAGTATTTCTTCTGCCTGTTTTTTTCCTCTTTTTTTTTTCTTCTGGAACTCCAGTCACATGCATATTAGATTATTTAATGTTGTTTCATAAGTTTTATTGACTTATTTTTCCCTTCTCCCTTTTTTCTTTTTATATTTCAATTTGGGTAATTTTCAAATCTATCTTCAAATTTACTGAACCTGTTTCTGCAGATTATGACACTTCTCCCCCGCCCCATTTTTTATTCTGTGTGTGTGTGTGTGTGTGTGTGTGTGTGTGTGTGTTTCAGTCTGCACAGTTTCTTCACATCTATGGACCATTTCTTCTCTGGTGTACAGTCTGCTGTCAAGCCCATTGAATAGATTCTTCATTTCTAATATTTGATTTTTTATTTTAAGCATTTCCATTTGATTCTTTGTTATAATTTCTGTTTCTCTGCTAAAATTCCCCATCTCTTTATAACATGTTGATTACCTTTTCTACTAGATTCTATAACATTTATAATAGTTATTTTAAATTTCTTATTTGTGAATTATAAGATCTAGGCCACCTGTTTGTATGTTTTCATTGACTTTTTTCTTTTAGTTATGAGTCAAATTTTTCTGCTTATTTGTGTATCTTGTAATTATTTTTTTTAATGTATGCAGGACATTGTATTTAAAAAGACTAATAGAAACTGAAGTAACCATTTCTATGATAGGACAAATTATGGTGAAGTGGAAATGCTCAAGGGAAGGCAGATGATTTAAGAACAGTGGCATACTTCATACCTTGTGGCCCAGAGAACCATTAGAATACTCACATGTTGTCCATTTAGTGATGACAAACACCCTTTTAAAAGTATCTCATTATAAGAACAGACATCTTGTCAGAGATTTAACACAGAGGGAAATACACTCTAGTGCTATTTATAAAAAATAAAAAGTCCGAGACTTAAACTTCCAACAATAAGGACATCATTACTTTATGATAACAGACTTACAAATAGAGTCATAATCTGTTTTTAAGTAATTATATTTATAAGGTAAATTGTATTATATATTGTTAAGTAGCATGTAAGCATATAGAACTGTTAATGTAGATATATGACTGGGGAGAAATATGGCCAAATATTAATGAGATAATTACTACATGATAGCATCAGATTATGGGTGCTTTTTATTTTCCCCTTACAGTTTTTGTATTTTTCTAATGGGTACGGGTTACTGTTACAATTTTTAAAAAGCAGCATCATGTAGACCTAAAGAGAAATGGTAATCTATTATGGTGTAGATTTTGCTTGCATTTAGAAATAGATGAAGCTTAGGAGATCTGTGGCTAAATTTTAGAAAGGATCCAGGGTGTAATCTCTGACTTTTGATCTCTGCTGAAGATTATAGTTTTCTGTGTGTCTTAACCCTGATATCCCAGAAAGCAGAGCCTGCAGTATATATATACATATATATATATATACCTTATGTTTCACTACTGTTTTAGAAAGTACAATTGTCCCTCAGTATCTGTGGGGCATTGGTTCTAGCACTTCCCATGCATACCAAAATTTGAGGATGCTCAAGTCTCTGATATAAAATGGTATAGTATTTGCATATAACCTATGCGTATCCTCATACTTCAGGTCATCTCTGGGTTACTTATAATACCCAGTATGTACATTGTAAATGCTGTTTACATTGTACTAGGTATTCTAATACAATTAAAAACAGTACAACTAAAAATAGTTGTTATACTGTGTTTTTTGTATTATTTTTTATTGTATTGTTATTTTTATTGGGTTTTTTCTTCTGAATATTTTTGATCCAGGATTGGTTAAGTCAGTGGATGTGGAACCTGTAGATAATGATGGCTGACTGTATAATCCTAGCGAAGCTTAAAGTTGAGTTGAGGGGAAGGGAAATGAGACAGGGAACTTGGGAAAGCAAATATGAGGGTGGGTTATTGAGTTAGCCACTGCTTGATATTGATCAATTTCAAATATTTTGGGGAGGTTGTATAAATTATTGTTAATCAGGACCTTCCATTCAGGAAGAGTAAAGGAGAATTTATCTTCTGGCTTCATTTTCTCATTTTTTGAGAGTTTAACCCACTGGCATTAACTCCTCACATTTGTGGGTTGTGCATGTATGGGTACTAGGTAGCTCTTGTGACATCTCATGCCTCAGGACTCATGAAAGCCCCAGGGTGGGAGACGAGAGATGAACAGCATGAAGGGAAGCACAGGTGTGCTGTGAAGCCAGTTGACCGTGTCTGTGGTATGTTGCAAAAACTACTTTCCTTTAGCATCCATCACTTCTGATTTCACATATATTATGGACATCACCAGGAATTTTCAGAAACCAAACCTGTTGTATATTTTTGGGGTATATCTAGTCAAATCTAATTAGGAAATAGCTGAGGATGAAATAGTATAGCTTGACTGTTTACTGATCTATTGTGTCTAAAATGTTATGGGTTACACCAAAAATATATTATTCATTATTGTATTTTATCTAAATCTTCAACATCTTAGGCACTATCAAAATCATTGTAATGACAGCTCTCCCACCCATACCATCACCTATATACCTTAATTTCTGACCAAATATATTTTTTTATATTATTACAAATCTGATGATTTTTAAACAACCAAGATAAAATTTAGATGGTCTGATTTTTTAATTACTGGTAATATTTTGTGGCAATTTGTAAAATGCACTCTGTCTTTGAGAGTATATGCTAGAAAAGCAGTATCTTTAAGTAGGTTTTGAACTTACTCTCTTTTCAACTTATATACTGCTTTCTTTTTGTTCATTAGATAGTACCTTTTCCCATTTTTAATATTCAGTTCAATAGGAAGGTATAGAATACTATTTGATTAGTTTTAAAATTCCTCTACCTACTCTTAAATGGATTTTGGTGGTGAATATTATTGTATGAAACTGACAGTTTTGAAAAGTCTCAATTCTGCTACCAATTAATTGTGATATCTTAGCCAAATTATATACTTTTTCTCTGTTTCAGTTTTCTCATTTATAGAATGTTAATAGTAATATCTGCCATAGAAGTGTACCTCATAGAAGTCTAAAGAAAATTAAATTATGTATATGAAAGTAGATGTCAATTTCTCTAGGGCATAGGCTATCCTGTACTAATTGCTGCATACCCAGCATGCCACAAGTGCCTGTATAAGTAGTAGGCATTCAGTGAATACTTGTTGAATTGAAAAATTACTCTACCAGTGGCTTTTCACCTGTTTTTTTGTGACACTTAGTCATATTTCTAGTTGCCGTAAATAGTAGTGTAGATTTCAAAAAAAGTTAAATGAATTTTACTTTAATCAGAATTAAATCTGTGCTATGTATAGTCATCCTCTGGTATTGGTGGCTGATTGGTTCCAGGACCTCCCACAGACCAATCTGAGGGCGTTCAAGTCATTGACATAAAATGGCATAGTATTTGCATATAACCTATGCACATCCTCCTGTATACTTGAAATCATCTCTAGATTACTTATAATACATAATACAATGCAATTGCTGTGTAAATAGTTGTTATACTGTATTGTTTAGGGAAAAATGACAAGAAAAAAAAAAGTCTGTGCCTGTTTAGTAGAGACAAAATTTTTTTTCTGAATAGTTTTGATTTGTGGTTGGTTGATTACATGGAATGTGGACAGCGTAGATACAGAGGGCCAAATGTACTTTTTTTTATGGTGATAGTGTATGGATGGATACTATGATTAGAGAGATAGTATGAAATCATTTATCAAGTAGCTAAATATTATAATTCAGAAATTTGAAAATATGAGATTTCCTCAAAGAGTTTGTGGAAAAATATAATTAAAAGATAATATGAATCTTTCCATGAACTTTTTGAAGTACCTCCTCTTATAATATGCACTTCAGGTATTGTCATGACTATGATAATGTTCTTGATGTTATAGATTTTGATGAAGTAAAATAAGGACGTTTTATATTATTGTAAACCATGAATTTTCAGACTGCAACTTGTTCATATGGTTTATAGTTTGTGCTTAATAAATAGAAATAAATGTTAATTTTACTTGTTATAAGTATATCCTTTTTGATGGGAATGATAGACTGATTGATTATTTGAATTTACTTACAAAATCAATGTGATAAGAACTTTTTATAGAGTCTTCTTTTTAACTTCTCATAGGTATTATTCTGCCCTAAAAACTATGGAACAATTAGAGAACGTGTACTTTCCCCGGGTTAGTCAATACCGGTTTTGTCAGCTAATGATAGAAAATCTTCCTAAACTTCGTGAGGCCATTAAAGAAATCTCCATGTCTGATCTCAAAGACTTTTTGGAAAGCATTCGAAAACATTCTGACAAAATAGGTGAAACAGCAATGAAACAGGTGAGATTAAAAAGGAGTACTTTAATTTAATATTATTTGATAAGCTAAGATATAGAATATATCCAAGGTTTACTTCTTCAGCTTACAGAAAATGCTTATTTTTGTTTACTTTTACCTTTTTCTTATCTTTGCTGGTTCTTGCTAAGAATGAATTTGTCAGTGTTTTCTTTGGTTTTGCAGTTATTCCTTATTTAAGTAAAGTGAGTCTAACTTGAATTCTTCAGTTACTCACTAGCGGAACTCACCAGCTAAACTCTTGGCACGTAAGTGGTATTAGACTTTGCCAGAAGCCAAATCTGATTTAAAATTAGTGAAAAAGTGGCGGCCATAAAGGACAGTGGGAGCCCTTTTATGCTAAGGTTCTAAATTGTTCTTTTTAAAACAAATTAAAAGTATTAACTTTGAATTTAGAACTCCTATAATTCAATAATAAAAAGACAAACAATGGGAAAAGATTCGGCAGTTATAAAGTTAATATACCTAACTTTTGAATCAGCTGTTCTACCTCTAGGTATTTGTCAATGAGAAATGAAAATATGGCCTCACAGTGTTCAGCTTTATTCACAATAAGCCAAAAACTGGAAACAACCTAAATATCTATCAAAAGGAAAATGGACACACAAATTGTGGTATATTCGTACAATGCAATACAGTACTTAGCAATAAAAAGGAGTGAATTAATGATAATGCAGCCACATATATGAATCTCACAGATGTGTTGAGCCACAGAAGTTGAACACAAAAGGCACAAACTGTGTGATTCTGCTATCTAAAGCAGGCAAAACTAATTTAAGGTGAAAAAAACCAGAACAGTGGTTGCCTCAGGGTGGGGAGATTGCCTGGGAAAAGACACAGGGAAGCTTTCTGGGGAGATGGAAATGTTCTATACCATGATAAAAGTGTATTTGTCAGAATTTTACAGCTAAGCTCTTTATATTTCAATTTATATACATCTTCAAAGAAAACTATAAAATATAATTGGGGTGTGTATGGAGTGAGTGGGCAAAGGTATAGATGAAACAAGAATGTAAAAATATTAGTTGTTGAAGATAAGTGATGGATATATGGGAGTTTATTATACTAATCTGTTTACTTTGTTTGTATTTGAAATTCTGAATAAGTTTAAAAATGATTATAATTTAATTAAAATTGCCAAGAGTTAGCTATTAAAACTTCTAATAATCACAGTGTTATAGAAATGAAACTGCTCAGTATGATTTCTAATGCCTGATTTTTCCCCCAAGTATTATGCACTACTTTAGAGAACACTTTATTATTCTAATTAAAGAAGTACATCTATAACAGACTTGTCAAATCAGAGGAAATTAAAATTCATTATATGAGCATTTTAACTTCTTAAAGGATTATCTATAAATCATGTAATATCTATTATGATAGTATACTCTGCTAATTTTTTTTTCTTTTTTTTGATTGAGGTGAAATTCATGTAACAAAGGTAACCATTTTGAAGTAAACAATTTAGCTACAATTAGTACAGACCAATGTTATGCAACCATCATTTTTATCTAGGTCCAAAACACTTTCATCACCCCCAAAATACTCAATACTTATTAAGCAGTTTTTCTCTATTCCTACCTACTCCCAGTCTGTGGCAACCAATCTGTGTTGTGTCTCAATGGATTTACCTATTTTGAATATTTCATATGAATGAAATCATATAATATGTGACCTTTTGTGTCTGGCTACTCTATATTAATTTGCTTTGTTTAATAGATGGTTTATTCTAAGGATATATTGATCTTGAAAATTCTTTACCAGGATCATGTAAATTGTGGGATAACAGCTTCTGCATTCTTAGTCTTAACAAACGTGGGCATTTTCAGTGTTGAAATAAAATAAGCTCGCAACTTTATGTTATAGTTACTTGTGTGGGGTTAATGGACATTTTAGGGAGCTGGGCCAAAGAGTGAACCAGTTCCTGTTATCAACACATATATATGCCAACTTAGGAAATACATGGTTCCACATAATTTCAAGGCTTCAGAAAATTAAATAGGCATTTACAGAGGGTCTGGTCAAGATGGTGGAATAGATGGTCCCCAGGATCATTCTCTACCACAAATCAACCGATTTACAACTATTAAAAAGCAACAAAAGCCAAGCTGGGGCTGCTAGAGCTCAGGGAAAGAGGAGGGGAGAGACCTATGGAGTGCATGAAAGTGGGAGAAGCCATGATGAGAGAAAGAATCACTCCAACCATTTCGGGCCCTGGCCATTTTAAGGCTGGAGCTGGTGAGTGCATGGAGCAGGAGCAGGCAAAAGCCACAACTGTGGCCTTCAGATGGAGTTGCTTGGAGGTGACAGGGGAGAAGAGGGCCTTGGTGGCCCCCAGGTCAGCAAGACCATTAATAGGGTTCCCGTGGACCCACATAGGAGTGAGGAGCTACAACAACTGAAAAAAAGGAGCCACTCAGAGGCCAGTGAGTCACTGCAAGGGACTGGCATATGGCCTGTCACATGGGAAGTGTTTGGAGCATGGGCAGTAGGGGAGATGGGCCCACCAGGAGAACACCAGGGCACAGCAAAGATAGCTGATCTGCCCCCCAGTCAGCATAGGACCACTCAGTGGATACTGGTTAGGAATTTAGAACCACAGGGGGTACAGTTTGCTGAAAAGACTCAGGCCCAGACCAGAGTTTCTGTACAACCCAGGTGTACCAGATCTCACAAGTCCCAGAAGCACCTATAAAGTCAACCATTAAAACCTGAGCTGCACAAAAAGCCTTCCCCAGGGAATCAGCAGCAAGGCAACAATTTAGCTCAACCACACAGCTCAAGTGCAGGTTCCCACAGGAAGTTCCCCCACTTTAGAAGTAAGCAAAGGACAGCAAATTAGTTCCAGTGCAGAGTTTAAGTGGTAGGAACAGTAAATAATCCAACACAGAACTGAAAGAAAAAACAAAATACCCACAGGCCAGAGACAAAACTTGATATTAACTAGTAAGGGTCTCTCATCACCGAAGAACACCTATAAAATGTGGAAGGACCAGAAGTCCCCTGGACTACCAAGCCAGGGAGGGGGGAAGATGGGAGGCCCCAGCCATGCTGCATGATACCCACAATCAGTCCCAAGGGTGGGGAGCTGAGAGCCTCAGCCGCACCCCCTAACACCTGCAACCAGCCAGTGACAACCACTGAGGAAGCACCCTGGGCTCTCCCGAACTGGAGCGGTGGGGGACTGAGGGTCTTGGCCAGGCCCCCTGACACCTGCAACCAGCCCAGTGACGACCACCAAGCCACTGCAGGAAGTACCCTGGGCTCTCTGGAGTCAGGGTGGTGGGGGGCCGAGGGCCTCAGCCACAACCAGCCCAGCGACGACTACTGAGCCACCACAGGAAGAGCCTTGGGCTGTCCAGAGCTGGGTGGTGGGAGATGAGGACCTTGACCATGCATTCCCCAATACTCGCAATCAGCCCAGCAATGACCACCAAGCTGCTGCAGGAAGCACCCTGGGCTCCCAAGCCGTGGCAGTGGTGAGGGGGCAAGGACTTCAGCCACACCTCTTTGACATTTGCACCCAAAGCCCCCTGGTCTCCCATGCAGGAATGAAGGGGGTGCCACAGGTCTCAACCCCACCCTTCCTCCTTCTCCCACCCTATTTCCTTCCCCTTTCCCCTCTCTTCCACCCTCCAAGTGCTCCACAACAACATCATAGAATGTAAAAAAAAAAAGTAATATTAATAAATAAAAAAAATTAAACATTTTCTCCTCTATAGATAAACAAGGCAACATATCTTATGTACATTTGTGTATGTATCATAGCTTTTGTTTTTTCTGATGTTTTAAAATTTACATGTATGATTTTTCATTTACAAAATAATTAGTGGTAATTCTTTTGCAGAATTTTCACAGTGCTCTAAACCAAAGGTCATTAAAATTATTGAATCACAATTTACCTTGAGTCATTCAAGGGAAGAGGAGTATACTCTTTGGTAATTGATATGAAACTAACTATAGATGGGAAAAAAAGAGTAATCTTTTTCCTTTAGTACTTAATACATTTCAAAGAATTATAAGACAAAACTGAGAATTTTGGCAGATCACTGGACACCATAGAGCATTCCATCTGAAAATTTTAGTACTGAAACTATAACAACAAATTAAGGACTCAGTGTACAGATGGCAGAACAGGTTAGACACAGTTGAAAAGAGAAAGTTGATGAACCAGAAAATAAGTCAGAAGAAAATATTCAAATTGAAGCTCAGAAAGACAAAACGATGGAAAGTACAGAAGAGTTGAAAGACATGTGAGATAAGATGAAAAGGTCTGACATGTGTAATTATTGTTCCAGTAGGAGAAAAGAGAGAGCATAGGGCAGAAACAATATGGATAGAACTTGAAACCAAGGATAGAAAAAGTGCTGTGAATTCTAAGCAGGATAAATATAAAAATCAGTGCTTGAGCATATCATGTAAAATGCTAAAAATTGAAGATAAGAAACATCTTAAAAACAGCCAGAGGAAAAAAATACATGTATCTCCTTCAAAAGAGCAACAACGATAACGATAGCTGACTCCTTAACAGAATCAGTGGAAGCCAAAAAGTACTGATAAACAATATTTGTCAAACTGGAATTCTATAGCCAGTAAAAATATCTTTTAGAAATGGAAGTGAAATGAAGATATTTTTCAGATGAACAAAAATCTAGAAAATTTGTCTCCAGCAGATCTACACTAAAGGAAATATTAGTGTTTTTCATACAGAAAGAAAATTATCTCAGAAGCTCAGAGATGCAGGAAGTAATTGGAAAGGGCAAATATTTTGGGCAAAATTACATTTGACTGTATAAAACAAAAACATCCTGTGGAGTTTATATAGAATTACAGTGCAAAACAAAAACATCATATAAGTTGGGAGGGGAATTGATAACGGATTTTAAAAACTCAAATTATGCTGCTTGCAGGAGGCATACCTTATGTATAACCATACAGGTTAAGGCTGAAAGTGAAAGGATTGAAAAAGATATACCATGCAAACACTAACTAAAGAAAGCTGATGTATGTATGAGAGATCATCCAAAGACCCCTTCATAGAAACCTTCATGGAAAGATTTTCTATGAACTTTTTGAGGTACCCTTGTATATTAATATGAAAGTAGGCCATAAGACAAAATGCATTTGTAGAGCAAGAAAGAGGAACATTTCATAGTGATAAAAGGTTCAGTTCATCAGGAAAATGAACAATTCTAAATTTGTTTCCATCTAATAGCATGGTCTCAAAATATAAAAGGCAAAATAACAGAATTAAAAGATTAGTAGCTTGACAATAGACAAACCTCATGGAAGATTTTCCTACGCTCTTCTTAGCAACTGTAGAGCCAACAGATAAATCAGTAAGAATACAGACCTTTTAAATAGAAGATTAACAACTCTGACCTAATTTACATGTATGCAACACTGTACCCCATGATTTTAGAATATACATTTTTTCCTAGAACACTTACCAAAATAGATTATATTCTGGTCCATAGGGCAAATGTCAGTAAATTTCAGAGTTGAAATAATATAGAGTACATTCTGTGACCACACTGAAATTACTCCAGAAATTAGCAACAAACAGTAACTTGAAAATCCTTGTATGCTTGGAAATTAAGAAATAAAATTCTAAATAACCCGTGGATCAAAGAAGAAACTACAATTGAAACCAGAAAATATTTTGAACTGAGTTATAATGAAATGTGACATATCAAAACTTGTAGGATGCAATAAAAGTCACGTTTAAAGGGAAATATACAGTCTTAAATTCATAAATTAGGAAAGAAAAGCTGAAATCAATGATCTAAGTAGCCACAAAAAATTAAACCCCCCCAAAATAAAAGGAAATAATCAAGATATGAGCAGACATCAACATAATCAAAACAAAATACAGAAGGGAAGATGAACATAGCCAAAAGTTGGTTCTTAGTGTTTTCAAATAAAATTGATAAACCCCTGCAAGGCTGTTTAGAAAGGATGAGAAGTAGCACAAATCATGAATAAGAAGGGACATCACTACAGATCCTATACCTACAGACATTAAAAAGATAAGACCACATAATGAACAAATATTTTGAACCAATTTTGACCATAATTAATTTGAAATAATCTGAAATTTTCTGTCTCCAAAACAGGCACAGCAGCAGAAAACCTTCAGTATTGCTCTGCAGAAGCAAAACAATGTGAAATTTGGGAAAAATATGTATATAAATCATGATAGAATCCCAGAAGAAAGGAATGAAATTGTATTGAAACATGCACTTGAGGAAGAGGATGAGAATGAAGAGGAGGTGATGGGGTTTTTCTTTCTTTCTTTATCTATTATCGGGTAAACTTTTTCTTTTGGATTATAAGGCATATCCATGTGTCTCTTAGTCTTCCCATGTGCAAATTGAATTTATATCCATCAGATTGTAATGAGCTATTAGGGCACTGGAGTTATCTGAAATATTAGACTATGTAATTGACAGATAAACAGAATATATTGCAGATTATATTTATAAGCCATAGATAGTGGAACCTAGGTGTTCTGTTACAATTAATAGTAAAAATCTAATGATTTTTTTTTTATGATTATCACTCATATTTGAATGATCTGTGGCAAAATTTTTATTTTATAATATCATGACCTTGTCCTTTGGCCTAATTTTGGATAGCCTACTTTTTTTCAATTGGTACTGACATACTGCAAAATAATTCTAATATGATTAAATTTAAGGTTTTTTATTTTTAAAATGTTCTAATAAGTCTAGAAATCTTGAAATTATCCTTAAATATTTACTTTCTTTTACACTCCAAATTCATTCTCTTGTCCTATTGCTTTTTTAATTCTCTCCACAAAGTCTTCTATAGAGCTTACTTTTTACCTTCCTTTTGAATTCCTTTTGAATTTAGTTGATATCATAGGGAGCCTAGTTATTCCCAATTATTTATAAGTTTGGCCTTATCAATGAGATTTTAAATTCTTTTTCTAAGGACCTAATTGGGGCACAGTAAGAACTTTTAATCGAACCATTTGAATCGAACCATGTGAATTGAACCGCATTGTATGCATGTATGTATACATATGTATACATAGGAAGACAGTTAAATATCTTCCTAGTGTGGAATTAGTGTGCCCTGATTAGTCCCTTGAAATTAATGTTTTTGAAATCTACTTTTTTGTTCTTAATATTCAGAGGATGTCTGTATTCTCTTCCCCCTTGAAGTTCAGAATGGCAAAAATAGACCATCTGGTTTGATTACTTCAGTTTTTCCCAGTCTGTATTGCATATCTTTAACTGCTGGGAGCATCGCCATCATGTCTTATCCCCAAATCCATACTGTTAGAGTAACTTGGTTGTTTCTCTCTTCTCTCAGATCTATTTTACTATTACTGCATTTTGTTTCTATCATTTTCCCTAATAAGAAATATTATAATAAAAATGATCCAAGTCCATTCTGGGGATTCACGAGAATAGAAATGAGTTCCTTTAAAAAAGGTTTATGTTTTTCTCAGGTTTGAGAAATTTTATACTACTATATTTCATCAGTTCTAAGGTGCTTTTTTTTCACATTATAACATTTCAGAATTCAGGGTACATCTTAAAATTTATGGTGTCATAGTTTCAAGTAGTGTTTTTTTCTTTCTTAGTCATCTGGAAAATAATGGCGATTGTGTCTTCGATTCAGTACAATAATGGTAAATTATATTATTTAGTTGCTTAAGAGAAGGAACTTTGTCTATAATGAAACCATAAATACTTGCATATTTTTACCCAAAGCAATAATGAGGTATCTAGTTATTCATAGCAATTTTCTGGTAGTCCACCAAACATGTTAAAGATATTCAGTTTCTCTCCTCTGTTACCTTTTAATCTAAAACATTCAATAATAATAAGCAAATAAAGAATAAACTAACAAATGCCAAAATGAAATAAAAATATTGTTATAGTGTATGCTTTCTATGGGAAAATTGAATAAATGTTATAACACGAAGTCCACGAATCTCCTTGTCTGTCTTTGGCTTTTATATTATTCGATAGTGGATTAATAGTTTGACTATAGTTTTTTTAATGGTTTTATTTTTCAGGTCTTAACTGTTCAGGATCTTGTTGATTTTTCCCCTGTTTACCGATGTTTACACATTTATTCTGTTTTGGTAAGTTGGTTTTACGTGTATGCTTTACGTTTTATTATACATATATACACACACATATTTTTGTTATTAAAAAGGCATGTATGTGTTTTAGGCATTAAAGGTTGATCATAAGCTCAGATAGCTATAAATCTTCATACAAAAAAAAGTTTATGAAATATCCACCGTTTGTAGGGCACTTACTTTTTTTTTTTTAAACTTATCATAGTCTAATTCCAAGTGATACACAACTTCCTGTGTAAGAACCTTCCAGTAGCATTCTTCTGTTTCTCCCTTCTTGCCTTTGCATTATTGTTGCATCACAGTTACTTATGTTACTTCTACATATGTTTACTCCATACTACATTGTTCTTATTTTTCATTAGTCAGTTATTTTTTAAATAACCGCTTTATTGAGATATAATTCACATACCAAAACTTCACCCTTTTAAAGTATACAATTCAGTGGTTTTAACATCTTTACGAGGATGTGAAGCCATTACCATTTTCTAGTTTCAGAATATTTCATTACCCCAAAAAGAAACTGCTTAACCATTCCCAATCACTCCTCATTCTCCCCTCCCCCTGCCCTTGGCAACCACAAATTTACTTTCTGTCTCTCTGGATTTGCCTGTTCTGGTTATTTTATATAAATGGAATGACACTATATGTGGCTTTTTATGTCTGGCTTCTTTTATGGCAGTGCAAGTTTAGGTTATTGATGGAGATCTTTCTTCTTTTTTAATGTAGGACTTTACAGCTATAAATTTCTCTCTAAGCACTGCTTTAGCTGCATCCCATGAGTTTTGGTATGTTGTGTTTTTGTTTCCATTCATCTCAGAAGTATTTTCTATTTACCCTTGTCTTTATTTCTTTAACCCATTGGTTATTTTGGAGTGTTTGTTCAACTCCCATATGTTTCTGAATTTCCAAATGTCCTTCTGTTATTGATTACTAGTTTAATTTCATTGTGATCAGAGGTCATATTTTGCATGATTTCAATCCTTTTAAATTTATTGAGGCTTATTTTATGGCCCAACATATGGTCTATCCTGGAGTGTGTTCCATGTTCATTTGAGAAGAATGTGTAACTGGCTATTGTTGGGTGGTGTGTTCAATAGACATCTGTTAAGTTTAGTTGATTGACAGTGTTGTTCAAGACTTCTGTTTCCTTGTTGATCTTCTGCCTCTTCTATCTGTTATTGAAAGTAGTGGCGTTGTCTGTTTCTTCCTTCAGTTCTGCTAGTTTTTGCTCCATGTATTTTGGGGGCTTTGTTGGTAGGTAAATAAATATTTATAATTGTCAGGATTTACATCTGCTATTTGCCATTTGTTTTAATATGTCTTACATTTTTTTGTTTCTTCACTACTTGAGAAACATTTTCTATTTCTCCATTACTGTCTTCCTTTGCATTAAATATATATTTTTCATTTTAATTCCTTTGTCATTTATTTATACACTCATATACATAGTATATGTAAAATATACATAAATGTATACAAGAGTACTTCAGAAAGTTGTGGAAAAATAGAAATGAAAAGTAATATGAATCTTTCCATGAAATTTTTGTTAAAAATTTCTACGGTTATGTTGGGCATTAGAGTCAAATAGTAAAGTGCTTAGTATAATACCCAGTATAAAAACAGCACTCACTAAATGTTAAAAGGATTATTGTAAAGGGTTACATTAATATGTATGATTTCAAGGTCTAGATTTGTTGACTAGAAGTCCATTTTAACCAAAAGAGCTCTGTGTCCAAAATCCTTAGGGTAACATTTCTGCTTTGTTTGATCAAATATAAGTGTTCTATGGAAAGAAATTAGGTATACTGTCAAAAAAGGGGTTCTCTTTTGAAAATGCTGCAAATAATATCCACAATATAATTTACCATTTTTCAGGCTTTGAGAAATCCTAAGAGCTTTTATGAATTTTCTTAGCTGGCTATGTTCTAAACTTTGTGAGCACAGGGACCATTTTTCTTAGGATATTGAGTACAGAATGAATTTCCAAATGTGTTTGGTGAATACTGAATGTTGTATGAAAATTGCTGCCTTAGGAGTTTTAAAGTTATGTGAAGGCTTTCCATGGGGTCCTGGGCTACAAATTTTAAGGAAATAATTTTTAGATCCTCAGATTTTTTCTAAAAATGATCTGTCTAGGAACCCTAGCCTGTCTTCACAATAGTTCTCTTACAATTAGAGCTCTGCTCAGATCCCCTTGGGTTCCTTTTCATAGGAACTAGAAATGCCTTGGAGTCTATTACAACCCCACTCCACAACGAATTACCAGGGTGTAAGTTAGTAAGTTATGATACGTGGGTGTGGGCCTAGATTTCTTGCCTAGATTGGGATAACTCTGAGATATAACTTATACTCTGAAGTTGCATGTGGAATCAGTCTGAAGCCCACTTTCTTGGAGACTTTTTTTTGCCTGAGATGACACTCTTTGATTGGCTTCCTCTTGTTTCCTCTCTTGTTTTCTTTACTTTTTGAACAGTCTTCCTTTTGAGAATTTCTTTAGTTTATCACTGATCTCAGGTTCTATTTCTAGGAAAGCTACCTAAGATACCGACAATATTAGTTATCTATTGCTGCACAACACACTGGCTTAAAACCTTGAATATTTATTATTTCACAGGGTCAGCAGTCTGGAAGTGTCTTAGCTGGGTGCTTCTGGCTAAAAGTCTCTCCTGAGGCTCTAGGCAAGATGTCAGTGAGGGCTGCATCTTAACAGGGGCTGGAGGATTTGCTTTTATGATGGCAGTTGGCAGAAGGCCTCAGTTCCTTGCCACATGGGCTCTCAACAAGACTGCCTAAAAGTCCTCATGACATGGCAGCTGGTTTCCACCAGAGTGAGTGATCTAAGAGAGAAATCAAGATGGAAGCCATAATATTCTTTATAACCCAGTATCAGTAGTGGCATACCATTACTTCTGCTTTACCCTATTGGTCACATTGACCAACTTTGGTACAGTGTGGGAGGGGACTACATCAGGATATGAATACCATAAAGTGGGAATCTTTGAAGGCCATCTTGGAGGCTACCATACTTACTTTATGAAAGAAAGTCAACTTTATAAAAGAAAATCATATCTTTCACTGATACTCAATATGACCATAGTGCATTATCTTGATGTATAAAAACTTCCAGGATGCAAAATAAAGGAAACATCTCCTTTAATGATTCATCGAGGGATTGAACACACAAACGGGTTCATTCCTTTTCCTTCTTGCAAGATTTCTGTTAAGGGTAAATCATGTTAGAAACAGAATATTTTGTCCTGTGGTAGGATGTTAGTTCAGAAACATGGTAGGGAATAATGCCAGTTTCCTTTTAATGACCTGGTGTTTTTTATCCCCAACTATTAACAGCCAATATAATGTTTTAAAGAGGGAATCCTGTGAGATGACAGCAGAGAGAACATAGAAAATTTTGAATGCTAAAACTGTGTCCTCTGTGTTTAAATGTAAACAATGATTTTGACTAACCTTAATACTCTTCCTTAGGATTTGTCGTTTGCTATAAAGGAATACACCTTTAAACAGTTCAAAAGATATGGGTTAGTAAAGCTGAATCTTTTAAACATAACTGGAGTGCCAAAATTTTCAGTTTACACTGGCCTGGTTTTTCAAATTCATGTATATTGTGATTCAGTAAAGTGGTTAAAGCTGGTTTATCAATTGTGTCATAAGTGTAAATTCAATTACATGTTTAATGTTTTCTACTTCATATTTTAAAAAGCAAAACCTGACTGGTAGTTTTTAGCAATTTATACCGTTTTCTTTTGTTAAATACCCAGAAAAAGCACGATCATCATATCTAACAGAATTAATGGAGTTATGCCTGGTTTGTATACTTGGTTTTATTTCATTATTTCCAAAAGTTGAGCACCAGAGTTTTATGTATGTCCTCATATTTGTTAAGGCATAAAGTATTGCTTATCATACTCCTTGCTTCATAAATAACTTAGAATTTTAGCTATATTTTATATTGCATTATTACAAATTAATAAGAAAAAGAATTAGTAATAAGAAACTGATTTATTTTCTTTAAGGTGCATGGTTGAATAAAACAATCACTTTAGGTTTAAATCTTAATTTTGACTGCTTTTTGTAATCCTGTAATTTATTTCTCAGTGGTTTTCATAAAATAATATTCCTCAAGACACATGTTAACATATTTGTTTGAAGTGAAACATGAAGTCAGACCTTTTTCTGAGAGATATTAAATACAATTTGACTTATTAGTTTGACTGTGAGGACTGGCTTTGCTGACTAGGCTTTAGGTTTTAGGGTGGACATTTTTTGTAAGTTAAATGCCCTAAATCTGTAGCTCAGACTGTTTAACCTAAAAGTATATTAGTAATGGAGGGAAAAAAAGCCTCATTTATTCTATTAAGATATTCATTTCCAATAAAAATTTATTGTATGGTTTACTTATTATCAAAATGTTTAATATGCTGTTTGGATCAGTTAAGTACTAATTGTAATGATTTAACCCAAAAGAAAAAAAAAAAACACCTTAATACCTAAAGAATTATTATTTTGGAAATAAAATAAAAGAAAAAACANGGGCCTTTGGCAGGTGATGTGGGTGGGCCCTTGTGGATGGGATTAGTGCCTTATACTAAGAGACCCTAGGGAGCTTGCTTCCTCTCTCTCTGCTCTCCAGCACATGAGGACGTAAGCCAGAGACTGACAGTCTGTAACCTGGAAGGGGGCCTTCGCCAGAGCCTGGCCATGCCGGCGCCCTGATCTCAGGCTTCTAGGCTCTAGAACTGCGAGCAAATAAACTTCTGTTGTTTGTAAGCCACCCCAGTTTATGGTGTTTTGTTATAGCAGCCTGAACAGACTCAGACACTCAGTAGACATCATGATATTATTTAATAACCTGAAGGTTTTTTTGACTACTTATTAAAAATAAAAGAACACGTGTAACTTAGGAATCTTGGATAAAGGCTGAAGATTGTGCCTGCTGGATGTGACAATACCTGCATGAGGAATAAGACGTTCAGTGTGCTGGACAATCAAGTCCTGCCGCCCACGTGTGCTGGAGGTGGGGGAAGGGAGGGGAACTGGCTGCCTCACTTCCTCTCCCGCCCCAGAAGGATCCCAACGTAAAAGAACTTTGCCCCAAATTGTCCCTGTCCCCACTCCTTCACCTTGTGTTCCACTTTCACCTGGAGATCCGGGTGGCTGGAAGACCCTGGGCACAGCCCGGGCCTCTCCCTGGTGACCTGCTTCTAGCCTGCCCTGCTCCTTCTGGACCGCAGCCCACACCACACACCCGCAGAGGAGAGGGCCGTGTTGCCTGAGGTCTGGGCCCTGTCCTGTGCCACCTCAAGATCGTCACGCTCATCCTGAGTGCAGGTTCCTTTTCCCTGAGGCCCGACCCGCGCCTCTCCTCCTAATTCACCAACCTCAGATCGCCTGATCACCTCCTGACATGCTCCCAGGAGATCCCAGAATGTAGGCCCCGATCCTTCTGAAGCTGGCTGTGGAACTCCTAGACCCCTCAGCCCCAGGATCCCACTCCCCACTGCCTGTAGCCAGCTCTCCAGCCTCACTGCCGTGTCCTCCAGAGCTCCCAAAGCTTCTCCAACCTGCCCACCCCCCAACCCCACTGGCTTCTGAGCCAGGCCCAGCTGCTCCTCGAGCTCCTCCGTCACTGGCCCCTTCCGCTCATTGCTGCGTCACCCTGCAGATGCCCCTCCATCAGTGCTCGGGACCTGCTCAGCTCCCATGTGGGGATCACTGAGCATGGCTCAGGAAATCAAACCTCCACTGTGCAGGGTGCATCCCCCATGATTTAGTGGCCTCCAGATGCAGAGAGGCTGCTGCACTCCAGGTGTCTGTGGCCATGTCCTCATGTCCTTCATCTCCTCAGGACCCTCCTCAGCTCCCATCCCCTTCGCTCTTGGTGGGTGACGCTGCCTCCTTCTTCAGTGTGTTAAGTGAGGACACCAGGAGCTCGCCTTCAACTCTGGCCCTCTCCCCTCCTGCTTCTCCACGGCCACACTTGGCCTTACCCCTGCACCCTCTGAGAGGACGAGGATCACCAAAACATTTTTGTCATCCTAAACATAAACTCCGAACCCATTAACCAATAACTTCTCATTATTCCTTATTATATGACAGTTTTGAAAAGGCAAAACTACAGGACAGAATGGGATCAGTGGTGGCCACAGGCTGGGGATTAGGCAAGGTGATTTACTGGGTAAAGAAGTATCTGTTTTAGCTGTGTGTATGTATTTTTTTTTATTACTTTGCTGATTTTATTTTAGGGTGATGAGGAAACATTTGAAAATTATTACCGAAAACAAAGAAAGAAACAAGCAAGACTGGTATTGCAGCCCCAGTCAAGTATGGTAAGTATGTGAAAATTTTGAATTGGTTATGTTGTCACTTTTTATTCGCTTACTGTGCTTTAATTTCTTCAGAGCATGTATCACTATTCATTCAACTACAAATATTTATTGGACACCTACTATTTCCAATCATTGGTTTAGGTGCTAAGGGTACAGCAGTGAACAAAATAGGTAAGTCCTTTCCCTCATGGGCTTATATTCTATTAGGGAAGACAGACAGTGAATTAAAAAAAAAAATCATCAGGTAAATATATAAAATGTCAGGGAGCGATAATTAGTTTGTGATAATATGAACTATGTATCTTGATTAATTGCCCCACTGAAAAAACAACTAAAGATGCTGGGTAGGCATTTTTTAAAAATCTTAAATTCTTTTTAAGTGTACTAAGGATGTGGCAGGAAAGTATAGTCAGGCCAAAAACTAAGTGAATAAGAAACTGTTCTATGTGTTGGTTGTGGTGATAGTTACATGCCTAGATGTGTTTGTGAAAACTCATACAATCTGCAGATGAAAGAGTGAGTTTCATTATATATAATTTACACCTCTGTACATCTGTCTATAAAACAAACAAAATAGGAAAACG